CAAAGTGCATTTAGGCTACAGTGAAGTCTTCTGTACACCATCTCTGCAGACACCTAGACGTGCTAAAATAATGTTCAAAACCCATTGAATAGCTTCAGTGAATAGTGTTATTCCTTTTCAGAGGTACAATTTATCAGCCATGTGTTTATTATACATGCCACGGCACTAGGATCACTTAAGTGCTTAAAGTGCGAGGAGGCGAGAAGGCACAAGTGGAGTCACAGTCTTTCACCACGTTCAGCAGGACCTAAACTCTCACACCGCGGGTCAAAGCCGAGTGTCCTCCATCATCACTGTGGAGAGGAGAGCCTTATCGGCACAGAGATGTGAGCGCTCTAGATGAGAGTTGTGTCTCTTCTCAGAGTGACTGTAAACACGTAGCATATATGAATATTAATGTTCCACATTAAAGCCCCGATGCCTAGATGGAAGAGTTAATGAGGATAAATAACAGACAGCCAAGCAGTGAAATCTCAGCCCTGACATTATTTATCATCCTTAACTTTTGTCACAGCTCTTTTTCTTTTGTAATTAATATCGAACAAGAAAGCACTTTGCACTTGGATGAGTGAACTAATTTGTTTAATATAATGCCATTAAGGGAGCTTGAATTGCTTTATATTCGGGTGGCTGATTATATTCCTTGCTGGGTTGCCTCTCCACCAGCAGATAACAAGCTGAACTTGAGGATTGATGTCCGTCTCAGATCTGCCATGTTCATCAAGCAAACTACTTAACTGCCGTTTACGTGGTCCTTCTCGGCACTGAATCACACAAACGTGATAGTCGACCAAGACACCTCGGTTTCCAGAAAACAGCCGTCGATTGTTCAGCCTGAACACCGAGCGAACCAGATTTCAAAACTCAGATTACTTATATACAAGTTTTACCACCACAAAATTGTCTTTTCCGAGGTTTTCCGCAGAAAAATATACAGTGGCAGCTGCTTCACCAGTTTGCCAAACACTCCTGGAGTTTAGTGGCTCATATGAAGCAGTGTTTCACTACATATACCTGCAACTGGTGTTCATAAAACCCCGGACCACCGTGTGTTGACACCTAGGCTGTGAATGTTACAGGGGCGGCTGGTTTGAGCATAGTGCTGCGAGCGTGGGGTGTTTGTGAATCCCACAGGGAGCTCTGACATTGGAGTTAGGAGGACACATAGTGACTTGAGGTTAAATATGACATTGGGAACACGGAGAGGGATGGAGGCAGGGAAGAGGAGAGCACAGCTGGGAGCGAAAGAGCGATGCACAAATGACGAGTGATGGCTCTGCAGGATATGAGCCACACTTCTGTTTGTCTGTCTTGTCCGCGGAGAGATTACCCTGCAGACCTGAAGCTCACCTTTACAGCTAGGGCTACATCAGCCACACACAAGCAGACACAGACAGATAGACGGGCGGGCACGCACTCACTCACTCACTCACTCAACTGTGTTTTAACCTTTGTGATTTGTCAAATGAAATGTCTGGTTCAGACTGAAATGCAGCAACTTACGTTCATAATATAAGGCTCCTAAAATACTTGTGGAAATGGTTTTAGTTGCAGAACAACAGAACCTCGACCAGATAATATTTTGCCACATTTATTGCCAATTGTGTCTCTTACAGGATTGAATTGGCTCACACAAGCAGGTTGAGTAAAAGCAATTGAGGTTAAACAGGTAAAGTGACCGCCTTTTATCCCCTTTGTTAACTTTTTTGATTCTGAGCGCAAGTCTCTCCAAGTTAATCAAATTAATAATTAAACACCAGAAAAGGTAGGGTTAACACACACACACACACACACACACACACACACACACACACACACACACACACACACACACACACACACACACACACACACACACACACACACACACACACACACACACAGCTTCCGCTAAATCACTAATGCCTAAGCTTACCTCTCTTCCCACAAGTCCTTATTAATTTATGTATTCATACATATATTGATGGTTTATTTCAGCACATCATAATTCATTCCGGGTGGAGTACCAGGCTCTCTAGGTTGGAAGGTTACGACTAAAGCCAAACCGACAACACCGATTTCAGTTTATCTCTTGCTCGTGTCTCACCTTTGTTGCCCCCAACTTGAAGTATTTACATGTGTGCATCAAATCCAACAAGAAAAGCCCTCGCCTGTCTGCAGCTCTGGACGGCAGAGGGACGAGCACAAAAAGAGGGCTTAAAAAAGGCGAGAGGGGATCAATGTGTGCCGAGATGTTCATGAAGATGAGTGGAAAAAGAGAGCACTCGGGAAAAGGTGACAGCTTGCCTATAGAGCTGCCAGTCATGCTACACAGGAGCCGCTCGCACTAGAGGAGACACCTCTGGCCAGCTGAGAACTTATCGATCTAAACTCTCACGCTCCTCTCCACTTCTTATGCTCCACTTTATTCTCTTTCCCTTTGTCTCCTCTTCCTATTGGCCTGTCAGTCTCCCCTCTAAGCTGTATTTACTTCTCAGACTTCATCTTCCACTTTGTGTCATCCACACATCGCAAACAGAATGGGGCTTTTTAAGACATTTTCAACTGCGATGGATTTTAAACCATTTTTGCTTTTATTTCAACTAAATGCAGTTCTGCTGGCTGACCAGACAGGTTGTGAATGCAGTAGCCCGAAATGCTCTATTTAATCCAGCTTTGGATGACTGGGAGGAATATGACTTTCCTCAACAGTAAGTGCATTTCCATCAACCCGTTTTTAGTGCAACTGACAGAGAAATGTTGCATTCAAAGTGTATTTCACTTGGCTGAGGTGGAAATGTTGATGTATTGATAAAAAGAAAATGTGTCAAACAATGGAAACAGACTTAGCGTATAAATAATGATGTACATGAAGCATGTGACTTAGACGTCCACTGAAGCTTCAGTTTCACAGCGGAGATAATAGGAAGCGCCTGATTCCTAATGATGGCAAAACAGCAGTGGGTGGAAACACACCATTTGCAATTTCTTTTGTTGATTTTCTGGAAATTTGGTTGAAATTTGACCGACATTTGAACAGAAACGAATCTATTATCTCACTGAAGATTGAAGATGCAATAAAGGTCTGGAAATTGTATGCGGAGGCTAAATGAGAATATATTATATAATATATTCTTTAAACAATCTTTGTAATAATTCATACTAAACCTAGAAATAACCTGAGGAACACTGTACATTACTTCTGTTGTACCATAACTGTGTTCGTCCTGTAGATCTCAGATACAGTATATCAAAAGAGCCATCGGATAACTTTAAACCTGGAGGACTATCTTTTTGAAAAGCTCTTGTTGCTACTGCACTCAGGCCAGAAGCTAGTTTGATAAATGGCACTTCTTGGCCAGAGTCGAGTCTCTCAGGCTGCATACAAATCCTGACTGGCAGACTGATGGAGCGTCGCAGCCTGAGAGTAGATGGTGCTTAGGAGGCACAATTTAGGGCAGGGAAGTTCCTTAAACACTTCACTCTGGTCTCGTTAGTGGATGAATGAGATGTTATGCGTATCTTATTGCGTTATCGTCCTATTTGGAATTCGAGGGAAGACATCGATTTTGCCTGCAAAAAAGTACATCTTAGTCAGATCCCTGAAAAGCAGACTACTGCCGAACGCCGTTCATTTTCCTCGATGACATGGAGGTCAAACACTGGATGTAGACAAAGTGAGAGACGGAAAGCTCGATAGGAAGGTGACAAAAGAGGAGCAAGAGTTAGGAAGGCAGAATTGGAATGGCGGTTTGAGACAGAGTGTGTAAATTCACATTTGAAAGTTTTCTTTTAATAATATGCTCAATGTTGCGCAACAAAGAAAGAGAGGACAATTCAACAGAACCACAGGTTAACATTATGGTCATCAGTCAGTTTAAATTACCACAACTTTATTTCAAAAAATGATAAAAAAATGTTGTTCTGTGATGGCTCTTAATACTACAATACCCATGAGCCTTGGCTCAAGTGCTTCAATTGCCAACTAACATTGTCTAAGCAACAAATAATGTAAACTTTCTCTTTTGGTACCCTGGATGAACAAAAAAAACTCCCATTTCACATCTACGTGAGCGTTTAAGTTTGCATCAGGGAACACAGGCAGGTGGGTGGGTAAGTAATGTGTTTGATACATTCCTATTGAGCAGACCACAGTGTGTGTGTGTGTGTGTGTGTGTGTGTGTGTGTGTGTGTGTGGGGGGGGGTTGAGGGACTGGTCTGTGGGGAGCTGATTGCGCGGCTCTCATTATGTGGCCAGTGGCTGTAATGGAGTGTGACAGCAGCGTGCTGTGCTCTGGATCTCTGTCCTTCCAGCCTGCAAAGCCAATTAAACACACTCTGCCCTGCTCTCCCACTGCCTCACCCAGCATCGCTCTCCATCACTTGCTCCATCCTTGCTTCTATTCATCCCCCCAACCCCTCATCCTCCACCACCACCACCGGCTCTCCATCCTCACCTTAACCGTGCCCACTCTCTCTGGGACCTTACATGCAATCCTTTGTAGCCGACTCTCTCAACCCAAGCCCCGCACATAGTTCCAGCTCTTTCCTCACACTTTTGCCTCTGGCCTTTTATTTCCTGTTGTCTACACGACAATCAAAAGCTCCAATCGCTTCTGCCCTCCCTTCCGTGTCCCCGAGCCTCCCCTCACGCAAACCTAACGCCCGTCTCCCCGTGGCTTTGCAGTGCAGCAAAGCTCTTTTGGGGGGGGAGGGGGGGCAGAGAGAGAATTTCTGGGCTGCAGGGAGAGAGAGAGCGAGATGACAGCTTCCCTGTGTGCTGCCACACACACACTAAAGGAAGAGAGAGAAAGAGAGAGAGCGCAATACTTGGTTTCTCAAGACCCAGAGCAGTCACAACCACTTAGGAGGAAAAATGCCCTGCAGCACCAAAAACACACATAGTCCATTTATCACTCCCTCATAGTCCCCCAAAATGTGTGTGCGCGCACACACAAACACACACATTCAATTTCTGAGTGTGTGTGTGTGTGTGTGTGTGTGTGTGTGTGCACGCCTACTGGACTGGATTTTAAAGTGTTTAAAATCAAGCCCCTGAAAGTGCAGTCTGTACCAAAGACGAAAAAATCTTTTGACATCTTTCCTCTTTGTGTGAATCCCTCTGACAGCACAGCTCATAGATACAACTCATACATACAACTCGTAGATGCAATTAGTGGCAGACTTCACTCCCTCCAAGGTAATGTGTGTGTGTGTGTGTGTGTGTGTGTATGTGTGTGTGTGTAGGCATGCACAGTGTTGAAGGGTGAGTTAAGAGAAAGGGGAAGAAGACAGGTGGGTTTGGTACCTGTTTTGAACCAGCCGTCATCAGTGAAAGACTCTGTGGTCTCTTGGGGTTTGTTCCAGTACTCTTTAAAGACAGACGGACCTCGAACTAGGAGCTCCCCTTCTTTCCCCTCCAGACCTGGAAGTACCTGCGATATATTTTCACGGAGATAAAGGGAGAGACCGAGATGGATGCTACAGATGGTTTAAAAGAGTTGAGTGCACTATCCACTTGATGCAATAGCCAGCATCAGCAAGGCAATACATGCTGAACCGCATGCAAAGTTATGAAGGCAACAGACTGTATTTCCATTGGAAATGAATAAGCTGGCGTTTACAGTATGGAGTTTGTAATTCATAAGCAGTGACACTTCTTGACATATTGTTTTTTTTTAATCCAGTCTGTAGATAAATCGGAGTAGACATTGTTAGTTCATTTGTTACCTGAGTCTCGCGGTGGTTGCCCTCCACAATTGTGGTGTTGCTTGTGTTATTCATGACAATCCGTACTTCGACACTGGGAAGTGGAAACCCTACGGCTCCTGTCAACAAACCACACAAAAAACACATGAGTACAAAGGGAAGAAAGCAAGATGGGTTGATTTGAGTCGCTTTTACAGAAGTTGAACACTTCAAATAGAGTGATCGACACAGAGCGCATGATTTCTACCACACTGGGAGTGCTCTCTTTCAGCTGGCAATAACCTCCGTCCTCAGGCCATAACTGGTCACTAAATGCTTTGCTGAGCTTGTAAAACACTAAACTGAAAGCCATTCGTCTCAGTCCCCACAAGTCAGTTGACTTGTCGAGTAATGGGGATTTCTGGGGCAATGCCTGATGCAACCGTTTACGTCAACATCACACCAAATAAGAGAAATCTTATAAACAGATGCCAGACCCAGAACACACTCCATCACATTGTGATCTATCAAAAGTATTGAGTCGTCTCAGAATGACACTGAACTGCAGCATCCATGGCATTAAGTCAACCCATAACTCACAATAGAACTCACAATGCCAGTAATACTCTCTACTGTTTTACATCATATGCAGTTTTTGACTGTACAGTACAATTCAGCCCTTCAGTCCAAACTACCGCCGAGTGCTTCACAAGGCTTTTTATTGCAGCACAGTTGCATAAAAATGTTATAATTGAGCTGACAAATTATGAAATACAATAGGGACTGAGTGGCAAAACTATTCAGAACTGTGAGCTGCAGTAATGTTTAAGGGAAACTATCATTAAGAAATGTGTAAAAAATGTCTTACAAATTGAAAATCCCCACATGTACTGACACCACCTGCAGCCTCCATCTTTGTGTGTGTGCGAGTGAGAACTCCTCAGTTAAGTAATTATAGCAAAGAGTGCAGTGGGGATACAGTGGTCTTCTCTCCGTGTGTGTGTGTGTGTGTGTGTGTGTGTGTGTGTGTGTGTGTGTGTGGGGTAGCATGCCTTCCTTGAGGCCATTATGCCATTTCACAGACCACTGCTCTCCCAATAAAGAGCAGGTCAGGTCCTGATTAAAGAGTGATTCTCTCACTTCATATTGATCGTATCCACTCCAGTCCTGATTGGCAATGTCTATCACACACCATCACTTGCTCTTAGTCCAGCTGGGAAAAACCAACTGACCACAGAAGTAACTAGTAACTGTTTCTAAGATAGACAAACAAGCTTGAGTCAGAAGGTTAGACAAGCTGAATCCAGCCACGTTATAATGATCGGTGCATCCTGAACCGCTGTATGCAGTGCGAACAAGGTTAATTTAGTGGACCAGGAGGACATTCACAGGACAAGACATTCAAATAGCTTCAGGAACCTCCTCCCCTCTTTGCCTGCCAAAATAACTACATTTGTTGGCTGATTTAAAAAAGTATTAAACATTTGGCACAGGAGTATGGAGAGTTATTCATTCCTTACCAGCCAATATCCTGCCTATCAGTTTATAAATGGTTGTGACCTTTGTTAACGAAAACACACATAGATTAAATAAGTAGTAACAGCAACAACACTGCTCTTTCATTTGGCTTAAAGCCAAAATGTTTCCACATCACAACTGTGGACAAGCCGAAAACACAAAGGCTATGGAAGTCATGTCCATGTATTAAATGATAAGTCAATATAGCAATTATTGTGACAGGTCTACTCCTCACATATCTTTCCGTCATGGCAGTGGTTGGGCTGGCCGACAGTCCCGCACTCACACCCACTTTACGCCGCGATAACTGCGTGGAGGTGAGAAAAGAGGCAGGGTTTGAACTTCTCGCTCTAGTTCTCTTTTTTTCATTTAGTGCACAACTACTTCTGTCACTTTTCATGTGAACAGCTGGGTGCAACACAACAAATTTGGGACAAGTCATCCCAAATGTAAACTATATTGTGATTACCCCCTTTTTATGATGGCCGGCTTTTCCCTTAGCCTTAAAGTGTGGACATCCAGAACAACTATAAACGTATTATACATTAAACATATATATTTTCTTGCATAAACCGACCCTTAATTCCTCCACATATGGGTCACCTTAATAAAAAAGTCCCACGTTTGTCTTTGTCTCCTTTTCCAAAATACGTTTGGCTGACGAGTGTTGTTTAAAACCCATCTAATCGTCTGACCGTTTGTGTTTTTGCCTCGTCAGACTTCTTAGCAATCTCGCCGCATTCCCAAATCTCCCAAATCAACATGTTGAGTTTAAGGTTATTAGCTGATGGAATGATGGACGAAAACTTTAAAAATAATACTGAAGGGAAACTGGGTAAATAAGAGATTACAAAACCCAAACAAAAAAAAGGTAAATCTCTCAGCCTCTCGTCGCGTTTTCCTCTGATCGGGTGGAGAGGAGTAGACCGAGTAATCTTGCTCGAGTTCTTCACCCTGTCCAGCAAAAACACCACCGTCTACAAAATGACAAAAACAGACTTGTCTCCCTCAATGACATGTCCAAAATCAATTGAAGTGTTCTTTTCATGGAATCTCTCTACACCCTCCTCTGTCATCATTTTTTTTCAGGAGCTGTCGAAATTTTGTAGCATTCGTGTCTCGATGATTCAACAAGATTGAGTGCCATTTTGAAGAGTACGGGCAGGTTATAAATGCTACATGCTCTGTGGGAAAAGGTCTATGTGGAGTGGAGAAGGGAATGACAAAGATTGTTCTGCAGTTATTCTTCCAAGAAGTTAATGAAAGACACTAAGCTTTGGCTGGATGACATCAGGAGGAAGACAACACTTTAGGGCTGGAAGGTGAGACACCATCTCTGTTGTCTATGTCAGTTAAAAGACAAAAGAAAAAAGGCTGAAAAGTTTAAAGAAAAAGAATGTAAACGATGAAAAAGGGTAGCAGAGAGAGAAACTTGTGAAATGAAAAGAACACGGATGAACTAATCTAACATACATACACGTCAACAAAGGGCCATATGACCTAGAAAGCCACACTGCTGTTATTCTGGAATGCTCTAAAACTGTAGGCTACACAGCAGAATCGGGCCAATTAGACGCCCCAAATACAGTAGAAAAATATGAATACAATTGCTGTCAATAAGTGTATTAGGAGCTACTCAGTTGGCAGAAAGAAAAGAAAGTGAGTGTGTGTAAGAGACTCCACTACTCTTCTGAGAGTGTTTCCTGTGGTTGCTATTGATCCATTTTAACCTACTTAAAAACAAGACAAGAACACACTGACGCAAATAGGCACAAGCTCATGCCTGCATACACTCACACCTCTGCCCACACACACACACACACACACACACTAACGTACACACATCTTCCACAAAGTCTGCAGTGGAAACATCAATAGAACCACAGCTATTCTTAATAATCACCAGAGAGGAATCAAACAAAGCCTGCTCGGTTTATGCCGAACATTATCTGACAAACAAACAAAACAATTCCCCAACAAAGCAGCAGACACAGGATCACCCAATCCACTTGCAAGGTAATTAGCTTTACCTGTAAGCGGAAGAGTTGGCTGGGGAGCAGGAAAGGTAGGTGGGGAGGAGAGAAAGGGGGGAGGACAGGACTAGACGTGAGAAGAAAGCAACCGCCACCAGTCTGACCTCATTTCCAGACATTGCCTTTGTTTCTGCATGCGTGAGGGAGGCGTCATTGGGATCATGGGGTTTTACCTGACATCACAGCAGAGAAGACTGCCAACGATCAAAACACAACACAATGAAGCCGAAGCGCTGAATCAAACCGGTGAGGGAGGTAGAATAATATCAGAGATATTTTAAGAGATATGTGATAAACAAAGAGGAAAGTCACCAAGTGTGCGGTCACACCGACAGCTTGGTTTCTTTGGTGGAAAGTGCAGAACAATCCAAGAAGGTTGGCTGAATTAAACCAGCTGTCGTTAACTGCGGTTGCATCTCATTTGTAAACCGGAGCAACAGGATAAATTGTTTTTTGTGGGTGGGTGTATAAGAGTATCCAGTCAGTAAAGCTTGTGTACCCGGGATGCGTGAGCCCTTGAGAGGGTTGGACAGTGCCATGCCGATCTCTGTCATGCCGTAGCGTTCCAGCAGTGTGTGTCCTGTAATCTCCTCCCAGCGCTGCAGAGTGGGAAGAGGGAGAGCGGCCGAGCCCGAAACCATCAGCCTAGAGAGAGAGAGAATTTATTTTAAATTCTATCAGGACTGGAAATTAGCAGGAGTTCAGGGCAATGACGGCTTTGAAAGTTTAAGACCATTTTTGTACATCCTACATATCACTTGGTGCGTTGTCACACATTCCTATGTGAAGGGGTGAGTCGGGATTTGTCTACGGTGTTTCACATCGTAAACATCTGCACAATTTGATGAAAAAGTGCAAAAATATTGTCATTACACAGCCAAGAAATTAGGAAAATGTGGACACTTTGAAAACATTGACATCTCACAATGTAAAAAAAAAAAAAGAGTAAAAGATTAAATGTGTTATTACATTATAAATAAAACCCCCTCTGAAATGAATTATTGATTCCGATATATGTATGCACATTTATCTCGACACATAGTACGAGACTCTGTCTGCCACTTTGTGTGTGTGTGTATATATATATATATA